TTGGACAAGATTGTGGGTGGCAAGTCGGTACTGGAATTGTTGAGAGACAAGCATCCTGTTCCGGCTGATGCAGAACCAGAGATTCTACTCGATGATGAAGCCACAGTCCAGGAGAATGTGCTGTTTGATTCAATAACACCAGCTCAAATCCGCAAGACCTGCATGATTATGAAGGGGGCAGCGGGTCCGTCAGGCCTTGACTCCGCTGCCTGGCGTCGGATGGCCTCAATGTATACATCAGCTTCTGACGACCTGTGCTCGGCTCTGGCTCGTGCTGCCAAGCGTCTTTGCACTGAGGCAATTGAGCCGCGGGATCTCCGCTCATTCCTGGCAGCAAGGCTCATTCCATTGGATAAGCAGCCTGGGGTAAGGCCTATAGCCATCGGGGAGGTGTTTCGCCGCGTGATCGGGAAAGTGGTCATGTCGGTTATCGAGAGGGATGTGGCTGCGGTTACTGCTCCTCATCAGCTGTGCGTCGGCGTCCCGTCGGCTTGCGAGGTCGGGGTGCAGGCTTTGACCGGCCTCTATGACCGCGGGACGACTCAAGGTATTCTGCTGGTGGATGCGTCCAACGCCTTCAATTCTCTGAACAGGGCCGCGGCGCTGCACAACATTCCAAGAATCTGTCCTGCCGCTGGGCGAATTTTCATTAACACCTACCAGGCCGACATCCCTCTATACCTCAATGGCGGAGAGGTCATTTATTCCCGGGAGGGTACATGCCAAGGGGATCCTCTTGCCATGGCGTTCTACGCTCTCGCGACTGTGCCCCTGGCATCTCGGCTGTCGCGTCGACTTCCAAGCACCAGCCAGATTTGGTACGCGGATGACGATGCCGCAGCCGGAGAGCTCCTGCCGCTGCGTGGGTATTGGGATTGCATCGTGGAGGAGGGGCCCCGGTATGGCTACCACCCCAATGCCATGAAGACGGTTTTACTCGTCCGTCCACATTTAATGGAAAGGGCCCAGGAGGTATTTGCCGGCACTGATGTCCGTATCCGGAGCGACGGCGTTCGTTACCTTGGCGGGGCCATTGGAGACCAACAGTTCCGAGAGGATTTTGTGAAGAGCCGTGTTGAGGAACTGTCCACATTGGTTAGGCGCCTTGCTGGTCTGGCTGTCACCCAGCCTCAGGCGGCCTTTCGCGTCTTCTCTGCCTCTCTGCAGTCCCGTTGGACCTATCTGCAGCGTGCAGTCTTTGTGGACCCTGTCCTGTATACGCCACTGGATGACGTCATCAACAAACATCTGCTGCCAGCATTGACAGGCCATCCTCTTGCGGCTGATGGTGTACTCCGTCAGCTCTTTGCAATGCCTGTGAGGAATGGAGGGCTGGCTGTCCGCATTGGCAGTTTGCGTGCGGAGGCTGAGTACCTCCTTTGCCGGACGTCGATAATGCCCATGGTGGATTGCGTGCTGACTGGTGCTGTCGATGGTCCTGATGCTATCGACGGTCCTGTTGCCGATATCATCGCTGCCTCCAGGGGTTTGGCCACGCAGGCTCGCCGGGAACGCCGGGCGCAGCACAATGCTGCATTGGAGGAGATCAGGCCCGCTCTGACGGATGAGCAGCGCCTACTAGTGGATGTCGCGGGTGACGGCGGTGTGTCAACGTGGCTGGTTACGCCTCCATCGGCTTCATTTCCTTTAACTATATTCAACAAGTCTGATTTTCGAGACGCATTGTGCCTGAGGTATGGCCTGCCGCTTGATGGCATATCATTATCCTGTGTTTGTGGCCAAGACATGTCAGTTCATCACGCCCTCACGTGCCCAAGCGGGGGATACCCTACCCAGAGACACAATGAACTTCGCGACCTCCTAGCGGACGCACTCGCTAGTGTTGTTTGCGATGTCGAGATTGAGCCACCGCTGATGCCGTTGGGTGGTGAAGCCGTCTCTGGGGGCTCAGCTGACGGTGCTCGTGTGGATATACGGGCTCGTGGCTTCTGGACCAGGCAGCAAAACGCCTTTTTTGATGTACGGGTCACGCACCCAAGGCCGTCTTTGCTGTCTGGACCAGAAGTGTCGAGGCAGTTATCCCAACACGAGCGTCAGAAGAAACGTCAGTATTCCGATCGAATCAACCAGGTGGATCGAGGATCGTTCACTCCGCTTGTTTTCGCCACCAGTGGACAGTGTGCTCCCGAATGTGGCATCTTCCTCAAGACCCTCGCAACACAATTGCACCATAAGAACTCGGACATACCGTATCGTCTCATCATCAGCCACTTGCGCTCGAGAATCAGTCTATCTCTGATGCGGTGGCAGATTACTTGCTTCCGGGGGTCACGTGCATCATACCTACGCAGTGGATCCGGCATTGGCCGACATTGCTTTGTAACGGAGTGCCGTACATTGGCTCATATGCCGCGCTGACGGGCATCAATGGACTTGCCATAATATTGTCATTGGTTTCATTCTGTCTCAGAGCGTTCTGTTGTATTTGTTTTCGTTTTAAAAGCGTTTGAGCGGTTGGGTGAATGGAAACGTCACCGTACTGGTAGTAGCGATGCTTGGATGGTGTTTGCGGGTTTGCTCTTTGTTTTTGTATTCCCTAGTTGGCTTGATTCTTTTATTTTATTTTATTTTCTGATTGGATTTTCCTATTTATTTGATTTGATTTTTCTTGAATGGTTTTGTCACCATTGCTTTTCTTGCTTGCGCTTTTCAGTTTCTTCTTTCTGATACCCGGTTTGTTTTCAAATAAAGGCGAAGTTCAGTAGTAGTAGTAGTAGTAGTAGTAGTAGTAGTAGTAGTAGTAGTAGTAGTAGTAGTAGTAGTAGTAGTAGTAGTAGTAGTAGTAGTAGTAGTAGTAGTAGTAGTAGTAGTAGTAGTAGTAGTAGTAGTAGTAGTAGTAGTAGTAGTAGTAGTAGTAGTAGTAGTAGTAGTAGTAGTAGTAGTAGTAGTAGTAGTAGTAGTAGTAGTAGTAGTAGTAGTAGTAGTAGTAGTAGTAGTAGTAGTAGTAGTAGTAGTAGTAGTAGTAGTAGTAGTAGTAGTAGTAGTAGTAGTAGTAGTAGTAGTAGTAGTAGTAGTAGTAGTAGTAGTAGTAGTAGTAGTAGTAGTAGTAGTAGTAGTAGTAGTAGTAGTAGTAGTAGTAGTAGTAGTAGTAGTAGTAGTAGTAGTAGTAGTAGTAGTAGTAGTAGTAGTAGTAGTAGTAGTAGTAGTAGTAGTAGTAGTAGTAGTAGTAGTAGTAGTAGTAGTAGTAGTAGTAGTAGTAGTAGTAGTAGTAGTAGTAGTAGTAGTAGTAGTAGTAGTAGTAGTAGTAGTAGTAGTAGTAGTAGTAGTAGTAGTAGTAGTAGTAGTAGTAGTAGTAGTAGTAGTAGTAGTAGTAGTAGTAGTAGTAGTAGTAGTAGTAGTAGTAGTAGTAGTAGTAGTAGTAGTAGTAGTAGTAGTAGTAGTAGTAGTAGTAGTAGTAGTAGTAGTAGTAGTAGTAGTAGTAGTAGTAGTAGTAGTAGTAGTAGTAGTAGTAGTAGTAGTAGTAGTAGTAGTAGTAGGTGCTTGGATGGTGTTTGCGGGTTTGCTCTTTGTTTTTGTATTCCCTAGTTGGCTTGGTTGTTTTCTTTTATTTTCTTATTGGATTTTCCTATTTATTTTATTTTATTTTTGCTAATTTCTTGAATGGTTTTGTCACCATTGCCTTTCTTGCTTGCGCTTTTCAGTTTCTTCTTTCTGACACCCGGTTTGTTTTCAAATAAAGGCGAAGTTCAGTAGTAGTAGTAGTAGTAGTAGTAGTAGTAGTAGTAGTAGTAGTAGTAGTAGTAGTAGTAGTAGTAGTAGTAGTAGTAGTAGTAGTAGTAGTAGTAGTAGTAGTAGTAGCAGCAGCAGCAGCAGCAGCAGCAGCAGCAGCAACAGCAGTAGTAGTAGTTGTAGAGTAGTATTCTTATATTTTCCATCGGAAACCTCAACAGTAATGAACACAACTCTTAAGAGGGCCGATAACAGAGTAGAGGGGTGTGGGGTGAGAAAAACAATAATAAGAGATGTTTAAACTAAACTAAACTGATACTTGGAACAATAAGCAGCAGTAAGCAGACAGCAGTAAACACAGGTATACAATACAAGCGATGCAGATCAATGAGGCCGTTTGCTGAAAAGAAGATCAAAATACTTCTGAAAAGACGCTGCGTTTTTAGCATGGTCTGAAGGTGCTTAGCAAATGTAGAAGTGCAGTGCTGGGTGCGCCACTCCACCGGCTAAGAATTGAAGAACAGTGCAGCACGATTTGAAAAGGAATTGACACCGTCAGTCGTCCGGCATTTAGTGATAGCAGCATTAAAAGAGCTTCTTGTTGTCCTAGTATCTGCCACCTTTGTGGGTTTCAGGGTTCATCATACTTTCTATTTGAAGTTTTTGTCATACCTTTTGACCTTGGACTGCGTCTAGCTAGATTAACTCTTGTGTAATCCATGATGCTAGTGAAGCTTATATCAGATCCACTCGGATTTAGCCACCTACACTAGTACCGAGTATTACCCTCACTGGGGCCAGGGGTAACTGCAGTTGGATCCCAGGACGGATACCCTGATTACTGTCTATCCTTTTTCTGCACCTTGTCCTCACCCACTTACTGAAGTGTGGGGAGCCCGCAAGTGGGATCATTTGCAAGTCCACCCATAGTTTGGGGATTTCAGGAGGTGTCCGCCGTTGGGCAGTTCAATAGCCAATTGAGTCATCTTTCCACGATTCTTTTCCAGCTCCCCTCTCCCCTCTCCCGGAGAGACCCACATGACCAATTTTGGCAGTGAGCAAGTAGAACAAGTACAGTATGTGTGTGTATGTGTCTGTGTGTGTGTGTGTGTGTGTGTGTGTGTGTGTGTGAGTGGTGAATGGTGTAATCCCAGCACAAGTTGCTATGTCTAACATAGCTGGTCGCTATCATCGCTTCCGCGATGGGCATGTCTGAGGTCTGAGATGTGTGTGTGTGTGTACGTGTGTGTACGTGTGTGTGTATGTATGTATGTGTGTGTGTGTGTGTGTTGCGTTGTGTATATTTGTAGTTGGTCTTTGAAGCAAGTCACACTGCAGGAAATGCTACAAGTGGTTACATTGCAATTGATGACATATCGTTCGACAAGATGACGTGTTGTGGTGAAGGTACGAAGAACAACCGGTTATGAATTCATTTTATTGTTAAGCACTCACATACTTGCCAACCATACCGATTTTCCCCTGTAACGGAAAACTCGGGTAACTAACGGCATACCGGGAGTTGGACTTTGATCGTAAAACTACCGGAATTGGCACTGAACCCTGAGTGTTACAAAAAGGTTGTTTTGGGGTGCAACAAGAGCACATGGCGCCCTGCATTCACAGAATCAACTCACTTTCTTCTTGATTCAGGATCGTGCTCTTCACGAAGTCGATCGAAGCCTCTTTCAAGTGATAGCGCGATCACCAAGCATTTGCAAGCGCAACCCGAATGCATCCTACAGGAAAACAACAGCAGCTTCAGTGACATCACACCAGCCTAGAACAGCGCGCACCGATTCACGTTGGAGGCACTATACATTCGCCATTTGAAGCCAGAACTGTGTAGACAAAAGAAACACATCAAGGTGCTGCGGCTGTTCAAGTCGCAACCAGACTGACAACTTTAGCACGTGTTTGTTCTGGTACTGCATTCCTTTCATGTGTTGTTTCCTGCATTTTTACTGCTCCATACATTCTTATGGTAGTGTAGTGTGAACTTGAGGCGCGTAAGAATAGTCTTGCTGATTCTCTACCCCCAGTGTAAACTCTGGCTTCGTTTTTGTTCCCATGCAACCACTGATGAAAATGGGTGAAAAGCTTTTAGTATTATGAAATTGACAACCATGTGGTTGTGTGTATATAAATATTGTTCGCGTACCTCTCTATTTAAATATTTAAAAACGGTGACCACTTCAGAACCTAAATAATGTTTTAAAGTCCAAAAACAGGATCATCTGTGGTCGTGCGAATGCAATTTTTGCGTTGCGCATCGAACGCGCCTTTATCAGGGACGAACTGGAGAGGACCACCGCTGACTTGGAACACTTTCTCCTTTAGTACCGCCGTGTTCTTCACAGAGTCAATCGAAGCCTCAGCATGCAGGACCGCTTCAGGTTCGCCAGGCTCATCAACCAGACCTCCTCAAGACTACAATGCCGAATCAGAAGTAAGTTTCACGGTGCACTCAGGAGGGAGGTGCGCTATGCGAAGGGCTCAGAGGAATTTAAACACTCCCACCTACTTAACTTGGCCGGAGTTATGCTAACTAATATCGAGAAAGACGTACTGTGCAGGGGCTTGAAGTTTGGAGTCCCACCTAGTTTCAGAATGGACAAGGAGATTGCGCAGGCAGAATTCGCCCGGTACCAGTTATAGCCGATGGGGCAGTGCGCCAGCATAGCCTTACTTTGCATAGTAAACTCATTGAATATAATTATTGTGCACTGCAAACATGGACATGCACTAACCAATGAACGTTACGCTCTGGTACGTACTGATCTGTCAGGCTTCACAAAACCATGGGCCCCGAAGTGTGTAGGTAAGTTTCCTTCTTTCTTCCTTTTAGGTTAGTGACAACATAGACAAGACGAAACCGCTCCGCCATCACGAATGCAAGTGGTTTCCTCGATGCACAATTTCATACCTTCATCAAAATTCAGCCGGGAACTATTATCAAAGGCAAGGCTTACCTTGTCCTGTATTATGCCCATTGGTTAATGATGACAAAAAGAACAATTGAATAGTGATAATAGACACCCATAGCAAACAACGGTATCGCTATTATTTTACGGTACTCGTACCTTGATCACCCAAATAGCGTTGAAGATGCAGCGCAGCGTTATGGGGGCTGATTTACCATTGTGACAAACGGTATTTGGTCCGCGTCAGCGATATTGTCGCTTATCTTTCAGCTTTGTTTATATGTCGCCAAAGCTCACTCGGCAGCCCACTTCATCCCAATTTTGGTTAGTAAGTTAGTCTACTAGTACGTGAAAGGTCTAGCTAGATTTCGAGTGGATTTCGAGAGCGACGGGTGGGTGATTCTGATTGATACAGCGCCGAATCAAATTAGATTATCTTGTTACGCTGTGCAAGCAAGAGCAGCGCAAGCCACAAGAAAGTAATCGGGCCGACGGCTACTCGGAATCAGCTCCATTTTGCTGAACGGCCGAGATCGCTCACCTCAGGGATCGCTCGTCAAGCTGAGATCTCAGCTCCCTTACCTCCAACTCAACGCTCGGAGTATCCAGCGCGTCATGGAGATTTGCAAGTACTGTACGCGTCGTCGTCGTCGTTCAAAATAAATCTTGCAAAGAACGGCGTCTGATTTGAACCATACAGGCTGTCGAACTGCCCACGCGAAGTCCTATAGAGAAGGCGACCGTCACGATCGACTTCTGTTTAGAAAATAGCCAGGCAGCGGAGAGGAAGAGAGATGAGCTTGCAAAAGCAAGAGAGTCGAACCCGAGCAAAAATATTTGTCACCAGCGCCGAGAGCAGCGACGAAGAAGACGAGAAAAAAGTAGGAACCCTTCCTTGGACAATAAATTCCTTACAGCCAGTTGTCATTCTATACCTTACCGTCCATCGTACCAAGTGTTATCACTTCAAGTGCACGTGTTCATGTCCAAAGTCTAAGTTCAAATTGTCGAAAGATAAGCGACAATATCGCTGACGCGGACCAAGTACGTGTTTTGGCCAAATATTGACCAGTCCGTGCGCATTTCACCTTGTAACGTGTATATGGTGACATAAATGGTTGTACCGCGCGAAATAAAAGCCATTCTCGTGGCAAAAGCGTACTAAGAACGGCGTCCATCTTGCTAAAGGTCGAAACCAAGAATTACCGACCAGTCTCCCTATTGCCGATAGTGTCGAAAGTGCTTGAACGTATTGTTCATAAGCAGCTTCTGCAGTACCTCAACACGAACAATTTCTTGCCTACTAGTCAGTTTGGTTACAGACACCAGCATTCCACAGCAGATGCCTTAGCGCTAGCTGTAGAGAACATCAATGAAGCACAAGCCGCTGGGCAGCACACAGGAGTAGCATTTGTCGACATGTCTAAAGCCTTCGACAAGGTAAAGCATAGCATTCTGGTTGAGGACCTCTTTGAACTGGGTCTCACTAGCACTGCTTTGCAATGGTTTTCAGACTACTTGATGTATCGCCGGCAATACGTGGAGACAGGAAAAACCAGAAGTACAACTTATGACAGCCAGTCAGGGGTTCCTCAGGGGTCAGTTCTCGGACCTTTGCTCTTCGTTCTGTATGTGAGGGATATTGCCCGCGACCTTGCCCCTCATGACGTCACCACTATTCAGTTTGCTGATGACATCTCGCTGCGTGCGAGCAGTCCACAGCCAGAAGTTGTCTCCCAGCGCCTCACTGCAGCAGTTCAGTACCTGGCCACTTGGTTGAAGAAACGTGGACTGATCCTTAACGAGACCAAGACGCAGATACTCGCCATACCACACCATAGAGCTGCAGCCCTCGACATCAATGTTGTATGCAATTCACAAGTCCTACCAGTAGTCACATCTGCCAAATACCTTGGCCTGCATTTTGACTCGGACATGAGTTGGACCACAATGGTGGACCATGTTGCTCGTCGTGTTGCCGGCAAAATTGCTGTCCTGCTGCGACATGCTTCCTCGCTGCCGTATCCATGCCGACTCACCTACTTCAGATCTATCGTTTTGCCTGAATTTTTGTATGCTTCTATTAGTTACTACCCGTATTTGACAGTTGCCCAGGAACAACGGCTACATAGGCTGTTCAAACGTGCCGCTCGGGCAGTCTGCAAGTCGCCACCGTGGACCAGTACTGCTCCCCTGCTAAATCGAATGCATGTATGTGATCTACAGGTTTCTGTGCACTTGAATATGTTTTGTTTCATCTGGCGATGTTTGCATGATGCATGTAGCACCCTGTTTGAGTCCTTTTTTGCTGTCGTGCCCTCAACTCGCACTCGGGGAGGCCAAAGCAACTTGCTTGTGGTCCCACCTGCTAGCACTGCTCGTTCTGCTAAGCGCCTAACGCACGCTGGAGCCATTATGTGGAATAGATTGCCACCAGCAGCAAAATGTTCAAATAGGTATTTGGATTTTAAATCTCAAGCCTTGCAGTATATATTATCAGCGACATAGGTTTTCCAATGCTTACTGGATTGATATCTGTTCGTTGCAACCAACCTTCCGTCATTTTTCCTTTCTCTTTTTCTCTTGTATCTACTATTTTTCCACAATATCCTTTAACATGTTATTCACAGTGGGTCCAATGTTATTAGGCATTTTGCCTGTTTTGATTTCCACTATAAATAAAGTATACAACAACAACAACAAAACCAAATCACGGTATTTTCCCCTTACGATAATACTGCTACAACATAATGATATTCCCGTAGCTATGCAAAAGACGTTACTTCAGTACCGTCTGGCGCTAGCCAGGGTCCACATAGCTCTAATTCCGTGTTTGTGTGTTTGTGCCGTTGATATGCCTGGTGCTATCCGGTACCTGCGCACTTACAACAGCAGGCGCCGGTGGTGCACCAGTACAGCCTACATGTTTTCGGTTGCTGCTCGGAGCACAGAAGGCGATCCCCATCCGAACAACTGGCAAGAACAGCGGCGAAGGAGCAATAAATCAGCGGCCCACAGCGATCCCATTGCCCGGGCAACACAATCCAAAGTTGTGTCTGTCTACAGAAAAATGGCCACAGAAAACCCCAACCCCAGCACACTCACTGGCACACAGCTTCCCAAGCGATGTGCCTTCTTTGTCGGGAATGTTAGTCCTGGAAGTAAGGCACAGTCCATTGTAACCTAGTGTGCTGATAGGGGCGTTGATTTATACGCATGCACAATTGCCGGAACCCAATAATTTGGTACCTGCCATGCACGCGTTTCTGTCGCGGAAGAGTTTGAGCAAACGCTGCTTGAAAAGGAATTCTGGCCCGACACCATTGCGCACACCGTCCGCAAATGGCGCTACGCCGACTCCGCTAGCAAGTGATGGATTCTCGGTCACACCTAAACCCTCATGCTACACCCTTCCTACCACAATTGTCTGCAAGATCTGTCTCGATTATCCCACGTCGTCATAAGCCAGCAATCCTCACAATCAACTGCAGATCCATAAGTAATAAACTGGCCGAACTGCACTTTAATATCTCCCAACTGAATCCCAGTATTGTCTGTCTAACGGAGACGTGGCCAGCGCCAGATCAACCGTTTTTGGTGCCAGGCTAAACTTGATTCCGCAGTTGGTTGATTTCCCCACACACACAGCCCCTTCCGGCAAACCTTTCTGTCTTGATTGGCTTGTAACAAATAATCCCAATCTCGTCCTGGATATCGGCACCGATGCCCCGCTAGGTGCCTCGGATCACCTGCAGCTGGTTTTTCGTCTTGATCCTCTTCTGTGCTCTGATTCAAAGGCTGCGGCATTGAACGAGCAGTTTGCATCGGTTAATGTTGTTGACGATCCCTGTTGGCCCTGTCCTGCTCTACCGCAGCATCCGGCTGTCACAGCACCATTAACTCACGTGTACACTACCGCGTCTACGATACGTAAGTACATACGAAAATCTAAGTCAAAAAATCGCCCGGAATGGATCGCTTGTCCAATGATATCCTCAAGGCTCTATGTCCATCAACTGCATTTCCCTCCTCCTATTTAATCTTTCGTTTTCTACCTGAAAAATTCCCTCCGCCTAGAAGCATGCCATAATCATTCCCATTCTTAAGAATAACCCTGTTAATTATCGCCCGATTTCACTTCTAAGTTGCATATCCAAGGTCTCCGGGTGGTAGCGGCCGTCGTGAGTTCCCTTCGGGAACGGACACGATAATTTACTTTTTTTTAAAAACTTTTATCCAAGGTCTGTGAGCGAATTTTCTTTCAAACACTTTACACCCATGTTCAGCCTGCGCTCAGTCCTAATCAGTCTGGTTTCTGTAAAGGTGACTCCACCGTCCTTCAACTCTGCCGCTTTATGCAAGATATTTATTCATCTCGGGACAAGGGGGAGTATGTTGGATTTTGTTTCTTCTACTTGACCAAAGCCTTTGACATGGTGTGGCACCGAGGTCTGCTTTCCAAGCTTTTTCATTCTTTTCGTGTAGCCGGCTTAGCTTTGGGTTGGTTGGCTAACTCCAAATTGTAGCTGTAGATATTATGTACTCCAACCCCCTAACTGTTCTTTCGGGAGTGCCACAAGGCTCAATATTAGGTCCTCTGTTATTCAATTTATATATCAATGATTTGCCTAGTGATGTACCCGATACTTCCTTGTATGCTGATGATACTGCACTCATGAAATTCGAAGCCTCACTTCAGCAACTTCACCTATCTCTACAGCTGGACATAGAAACGGTCGTGTCCTGGATGCGTCGCTGGCACCTATCCCCCAATCTCAACAAAACCAAGGCCATTATCGTCGGCTGTGCATAGGCAGATAAAATTGCGTTGTATTTCCCAGGATTTCCCCAGCCTATTCAGATGGTGAGCAGTCACAAACACCTAGGAGTAGTGATTGATTCTGCTCTTTCGTGGTCGCAACATATGAATTCTGTGCGTTGTCGTACTAGCTCTGCTCTTGGAGCCTTGCACTCTCATTTTTTCCCATCTTCCAAACAGTTGCAAGATTCTATTCTACCGATGCTATATTCTGCCTTTATTTGATTCCGCTGACCTAGCATGGCGTGGTCTTAGTGCAGCTGCTGTTTCCAAGCTTGAAATTCACCATAGAAAAATAATGAAACGGCTATTTGGAAAATCCCTCATGCATAACAGTTAGCATATATACTCTCTCGTAGCCTCCTCTCCACTTGCTGATAGACACCAAGCACACCTGTGTGCCCTTGTTCAGAAAATTTATCTTAAGCGAATTCCCAGGCACTTCAAGAAATAGTGATTGATTCCAGAGAGAGAGAGAAATACAAGACACCAGGTATCATTACCTTCCCCTCGATTGTCCCTAACGATCAAATCACCTGTCTTTATGGCCTACACATTTTGGCTCAAACTCTCTTATAATATTCACTGTTCACAGTCTCTCTCAGCTTTTAAGGATGCATTTCAGCTAAAAAAAGTACTGTATTGTGCTACCTGCTGTTACACACATGGTGTCACCTCCCTTCCTTTTCTTCTTTTGTTAATGCTATTTTCCGTGGTTGGATTCACCCTCCCTTTCTTGTATTTGCTATGTAGTATTATGTGCCATAAAGTGGAGACGATAAATAAATAAATTAATTAAAAATTAAAAAATATAGCCAATTCTGATCACTTTTGAGTTTTGACCAATGCCTTGAACTGGTGGTCGAATGGTCATACACCTGTAAGCAGACCCTGTACTCTGCACTTCTCGTAGTGCACATACTTGACAATCCCGTTATGATGTTCGATTTAAAACTCGTCCGAGCAGGATATGGGCCTTACTGCTGCGGAACGGCTGCTGTTGCATAGCACCAAGTATAATGGTTTAGCACCTTCTCGCCTGCACCTGACTCGTGCCCTATGATCCTTCTCAGTATTCTCACCTTGCTCACTATTATGTTCAGCTGCCCATTTTGGAGCTACCAGTTGCCTAATGATTGTGACTACATGAAACTCGGAATTGCAACACAGCTTCCAACCTTTCTCTTTTGTTGTATTATTATAATAATAGAGAAAAGTACCTACAAGTTACTACTGTAGTTAACACGCATGCACTCGCTATTGCAGATCAATGGAGAGCACACATCATATGGAGGATTCATGGAGTGCTGGGCAACCGAATCTGGCATGTGATAATCATGTAGGATAGTCCACGCACGAGGTGCAGCCCATGAAATGGGCACCCATGAACTGGGCGGAGTGTGGACAGCCTGTATGATAGTGTGTATGTATGTCCACGCACAAAGTGCAGCCCATGAGATGGGCGCCCATGAAATGGACGGAGTGTGGACGGCCCACGCACGAAGTGCAATGCCCGTTAGGAGGCAGGAGTGTGGGAGTATGAGTGTGATGGCCGAAGGCCGTGATAATTGCCAGATGAGAGGAGATAGCTGGCCCAGCACTCCTATTTATTTTCGTCTTGTATGAATTATGATACCTGTGTTGAATCAAGGATATCAATATTATTCATAGATGGGAAGAGGTGGGTGGGTGAGAAAGGAACAAACCAGTGTTCTTCTCACGGCGCAAGCAAAGCAAATATGAAGTAGCAATGTGGCCAGCGCGAGGTATGGTGTATGCGTTACGGGTTCAAGCTCCGATGTGTGCTGCAGCCGCCTATGGCTGGTTGGCTGGCGAGTTCAGGTGAGTTCCGGCGTACGCATGTTACATGCCACCGCAGCGTGCATGTGCGTGTTACTTGACATGCATCAATGAATAGCGTGGGATCTGTGGGCTCTTTGGAAGCCGCTGGAGCGCGTGTGAAGTGGTGGCTTGTGCAATGTACATATGTGTTAACCTACATTACCGCAAGCTCTAATGTGCTATTATGACTAACTGTCCACCAAGGTAACGAGATTATAATTACACAGTCAGAATAGTGTGACAACAAGGCACAAAATTGATAGGAAAATTGAGACATTTGACAACTTTACACATAGTTTCAGCACATCTACGAAGAGCAACCTGCCAACATGGAAGGCTCAGATGCGGAAATAAGTCCATACACATCTTTGCGGCGCATCCCTTTCCCTCATTGGAACTTTTTGCATATGACCCAAAGGTGCCAGTGTGAAAAAACCCAACCCTGATCGTTTGCTGTGCAATCCTACACCTAAGAAAAGCGACTGTCCGGTGACTGGGGAATAATAACAACAGCAATGGGTTTGTCGCATCTGTTCACAATGCTTACTGCGAAGTTGGTTACTGCTGATGTGGTTTGATTTCTACTTCGTGATGTTGATGCAGTGTTTATGGGGAGTAGGGATAACAGCGTCACGAATAACGGATGTGTCAGAAACGTTGCTCTGAGATCAGGTATAGACTAATACTATTGCTTTTTTCCATCTCTTCAGCCGTTTGCCTGCTGCCAAAAATACAAAATGGAACTGCAAATGGAAGAGCACCATCCATTAACAATAAATTCACAGAGTATGGAGTCGTGTGTGACTCCGGCTATGAATTATCTCGTTCGGACTACGAGCGCCGATGCCTCGTCGTCAATGGACAGTTTAAGAGCCCCCCATCATGTATAGGTAAGTAGTCCAAACAGGTCAGTAATTCTCAACGTTTGCAATTTGTGTGTAAATATAGCCATTCCATCCAGCCTGGTTTTGGTCAACAGATGGTCAAATGTACATTATGTGTATTTATGGCCAAGTTCGGTTACTATTGGTAACCACCAAGGCGGGAGAAAGGTATACAGAATCAGGTCCAAATATTTCAAAGCACTCCATGACTCATTTTCAAACGCCAACTCATCCCTAGATATGAGGTATGTGGTATGCAAGTGCACCCACTTGTGGATTGCTGATCACTGATCAAATTGTTGTAACTCCATTGCTCCATTGCCCTAATGGGGTAAGCAGCAGCATTTGGCCCTTTACAGATTTTCCAACAATCACTATATCCAACCGACCAAGACACGTTACCACTGCACCCCACAAGCAAAACAACACAGTCCAGTACACACAGCTCAGAAACGAAACAAATTCGCCTATCATCTACTCTGCATGTCGTAATACTTATTGGTAATAGATGTCGCTTTGACACAGTGATTCGTATACAGCATGGAAAAACTAGCATCTGCGGACAAATGCTCCATCATACCAGATAAAATAATGTGCGAGAGAGGCATTTAATGAACCAGCACTTGGCAGAATTTGCCATCTCACTAGATAGCGCTCGCTGGAACAAGCAGTAATGAAATTGGGCAAATTCCAAGCGCTAATAAAACACCGAGCTACGTCCTCAATTACCAAACACTATACACTAGGAGATAGTAGAACACCTCTTCTAACACTCAGGACATGTCCCGCGTCATCCTTTTTGGGTTTTCTTGAAATAAACCAATTTGAATTTTTCCACTCGACCCTGCTGAAATACGTCCAAACTCATACCTGCGTAGGACAGCTCGCCCCTCTGCGACGTCTAGTCAGCAATTTCTACTCCAACACCACTCCCAACACTGCAGAACAAAGTGTATTGTTGACTCTGACCAGGAAAAGCAGCGGTGATCACTTGTCACTCCAAACGACAAGCTTCTCCTTGCGCCACCAGCATTTTTCGGTGCTACAGTTGATGCAAAAGTGACTGAATTTTTGCGTGTAGTTTATGGATTTTACTGCAAGAGGAATGATGAAATCACGTGCCCCGTGACGTGGAACAATGCTTTCTGGTGCACGACACAATGTCAATGCACACGATGATGATCGTGCGTGCGGCGCTATTAGGAACAGGTAAGATGCAGTATATTTCCTGCATGCTCTGCTCCGAACATGCAGAAACTATCGTTATTAGCGCTAGCAGTATTGCATTGGCAAGAATTCTTTGAGATATTTCCTCATGCAGTAAGAACAGGTATGCATTTTTTCACACTAACCTCGCTCATCCCGAACATGGTTCAACAGGAACCTTGGCTAGTTAGTTTACATCGCTTGGAGTTGACCAATGCGCGGCCTACACTGTTTGCCGCCGCCCGTGTATGGCAGATGTCTTACGTCATGAACAACGTGATTTGACCCTACTCACCCTAGACCTAGTCTCTGTGCTGCATGTTGAGGGAAAGTCCCGGACCAAGGCGACTCGGAACCACTGCTGAACCGCTGAAAAGTGATCCACGAGACCTGGCATTCTCGTGTCACGAGGCACTTGATTTTTATCATTCCTCTTGCAGGAAAATCCACAAACTACACGCAAAAATTCAGTCACTTTTGCATCAACTGTTGCACGGAAATATGTTGGTGGCGCAAGGAGAAGCTTGTCGTTTGGAGTGACAAGTGATCACAGCTGCTTTTCCTTGTCAGAGTCAACAATAGAGGCGAGCTTTCCTGTGCAGGTATGAGTTTGGACGTATTTCAGCATGGTCGTGTAGAAAAATTCAAATTGGTTTATTTCAAGAAAACCCAAAAAGGATGGCGGGGGACATGTCCTCAGTGCTAGAATAGGTAGAGGAAATTGCACCAACGCTCTTCTACCAGATTTAGTAGTTTTTCACGATATGTACGTGAAATGTGTGTCTTCTGTATGGAGTTGCGTACAACTCCTTGATTTTGCTGAAAGTCCCGTACCTCTGCCAACTTTTACCGGCTTCTACCAACTTTTTCCTGGTAGGGCCAGTAGAGGAAAGTAGAATATACGCTTTTGAGTGGAAAAAAAAGGAACACTTCTACCGAATGGACTCGGATGGAGAGCCAAGGTTTATTTTATACAAAAGAGAAAGGACCAAGGAACTACAACTAGGAACTAGCTGTTGGAGTCAGGGCCGGAGACGCATTCCGCGGAGTGGTGCGGCCGAAGGGCCATCTTTAAGGGGGGTGTGGGGTCCTCCCCAGAAAAATTTTGGAATTTAGACGGCAAATCCTGCACTCTGGGTGACTCCCTGTACAAAATCTTACATCGAAACTTTTTCTCCCCAGTTTTGGACGTTCCATGTAGACCGACTTTTTGGGATTTTTTATTTATTTTTTGGTACGGCCATGGCCGTACCGGCCGTACCAGTGGCGCCGGCCCTGGGAGTGCGCATCCAAGATGTGCTAGAGCTGTTATCCAGTAAGTTGTAGAACGTCAGTACCGTCGGTCAGTGTCGTGCAATGTTCTTGCATGAGCTGATTGTATAGTAACTGGTGGTGTTAGTGGACAGTATAGCGTAACTTGTAGTTCCTTGGTCCTTTCTCTTTTGTATAAACTTCTAACAAAAGAAGTAGTTTCTTCACAAACATGTAGATCAAAAACGTTCGCCCTCCTATTATGCCGGTGTTTTCTATTTCAAAATGTCTCAAATCAAGTTGGTTAGATATTACAGGTGGATTATTTTGACTCAACGGGTAAGCAGCCGCTTTCGGTCTGTTTATTAATGTAGTATTTCTACCTCCACCCAACCCAGTTTGGTTGTGAGCAAATGCCCCAGGGGCCTCTCGCATGACTTTTTGCAGTGCTGTGTTGAAGCGCTAAGTCTGAACTGTCACCTTTATTTTCAGTAGATGTATACTTCATAAGAATGAAATTGAAGACACCACTGCAGCTGTACTTATGGTTGATAAATATGGTGGTAAAGACACACCATATACTTCATGATTACTTTAAAGGGGAAGTTAAGGCAAAAATTAAAATTTCACCAGCTGTAGTCTTCGGGGTGCTGAGTCGAATGGTCTTGATCCGAGAAAGCTGAGACGCTCCCTTCCTACTTGAATCCCAATCGAACTCGCGCACTTCCACCGAAACTGGGTGACTGCGCCTTAGTAGATGGGGATTTGTATGCAAAATGTCAGTAAAAGCGCCATTTCGTTCTTATAAAAGCACGGATCACCGCGATTGGCCCATATGTTGTAGTCTTTTGGACCCTGAGTCGACTGGTTTTGGTTCGAAAAGGCTGCGATGCAGCGTTCCTCCTTTATTCCCAATCGAACATGGTTGAACAAGCGGTCACGTGCTCCTGGATGCCCAAATCACCTGGTCACCACGCCAGCAGGCGACAACTTTCACACCAAGGTTCAACTCGAGTGACAGGACTGCACCCAAAAAAGGTCAAACAGGCTAGTAAGTTGTACCCTGCAGGCACGGCGACCAGGTGACTGGCGTACGCAGGAGCACGTGACCGCTTGTTCAACCATGTTTGATTGGGAATAAAGGAGGAACGCTGCATCGCAGCCTTTTCGGACCAAAACCAGTCGACTGAGCGTCCAAAAGACTACAACATATGGGCCAATCGTGGTCATCCGTGCTTTTATAAGAACGAAACGGCGCTTTTAGTGACATTTTCCATACAAATCCCCATCTAGTAGGGCGCAGTCACCCAGTTTCGGTGGAAGTGCGCGAGTTCGATTGGGATTCAAGTAGGAGGGGAGCGTCTCAGCTTCCTCGGACCACGACCATTCGACTCAGCATCCCGAAGACTACAACTGGTGAAATTTTAATTTTTGCCTTAACTTCCCCTTTAAGAACACAGATGGTGAGCCAAGGAAAAATTCTAATATGGAAAATGTGGGCACATATTATGCGATAGAGTCCACCAACTGAACCGGATTATGAACAGTCAGACGTGCACAATCTAGCACAAAACTGACAAGGAATACTGAGATATTCCACGGCATGACTTACTCCCAGTCCATCATAATGCCCGATCTTCTTTATGGATCAAATACATTCTCGACATCTCTGGCAGCCAGGCACTGTCATCGACTACAGGTTCTGCAAAGCCGTGGTGCCCGTGTAGTGTTCGAACGCCCGCCATGGACATCCGCACATGACCTACTGGAGCGCCTCTCACTGTATCGGGTTACTGAAGTTGGCATTCCGTGCATGGCGCTGCCGTTACGGCCAAGCAAGACCTGAGCTTCAGGTTCTCTTGCTGCCAGCTTGTGGCCGGTCCACGCGCCTGGACTCCGGCATGGGTCACTGCCTGCCACCTGCCCGTAGCAACTCTGGAAAGGGGACATTCGCTTCCAGGGTGTGCTATGCAGTATTCGCTCCATCTCCGTTCCTCGTCAGTTCCGTGCTGCACCAGTTCTGTTCCTCCTATGAACTGAGAACATTGCAAAGCAATTGTATGTGTGGCTGTCAATGTACATGTGTGTGTGTGTGTTTGTGTGTGTGTGTATGTGTGTGTGTGTGTATGTGTGTGTGTGTGTGTGTGTGTGCATGTGCGTGCGCATATGCATGTGTGTGTGGGGGGGGGGGGGTATGTGTCTGGGTATGTGTGTATGTGTGTGTGTAGGTGTGGGTATGTACATGTATGTGTGTGTGGGGGGGGGGGGGGTGGACTTGTGGGCGTGTGGATGTGTGGGTGTAGATGTGCAATGCTTCGATTTATCTCTCTTCTCTTCTCTTCTCTCTTCATGTCGGTGTCTCCCGCTTCTGGGCCGGCATGGCCCATACTTCATGTGTGCTTGTTCCTGTTGTTATGTCTACTGTGTCTTGCCGCTACTCCGGCTTTGGCCGTGACCACGATGTGTCTCTCCCTTTTCTCCTTTATCCTTTCCTTTCTCTTTTTGCTAAAAGCTTTCTTCTCGCCGTGACCACGATTTTTCTTCTTTTTCTCCTTTATTCTCTTTCTTTCCTTCTTTTCTCTTCTTCCTTTGTTGAGAGCCTTCTGTTCCCATATTTTCTTTTCATCTGTGTCCTCATTCCTGGCTTACTTGGACTTCATTCGCTTCCTTGTCATTGGACATGTTCAGTCCGTTCGGTTTGCGAATTCAAATAAACACAACCAACCAACCAATGATAGTCAACTTGAGCACTGCTCGATAGCCCTAACCAACGGCCTTACAACTTGGAAAGTTCATGGATATTAGTGCTAATTTGAGGAGAAGGCAAACGCCATCGAGACGAGCGCAACCTACAATCCAATTGAGACACATTTACAAATTTGCTCTGCACATCAAATGAAAATTTGGAAGGAATATTACATAATCGGAACACATGCAGGATTCGACTCGGGTTGCAGATGCCAAACTTGCAGATGTCACTTGTCTCTATGTGAAATGTAGGCCAAGTGAAGGAACCTCTGCGGGGCTCAGACTTTTACCCGGCCTTCATTTCCCAA